GTTAGTTATGCCATTTTAGTTTTAAATAACCAATACAATTCTCCTCCTTTCCACCCACTGTTTGGATGGAAGGTTGCATCGAATGGTCGGTCTGTTTCCTTCAATGTTACTGCAGCAGCACATGAGAACAGGTGAGGGACAGGATTTGGATTCCTTCTCTCATCATTCTGAAGTTGGTCGTGATCGGGGAAATTATTTTGGGGGAAAAAATGAAAATTTGACAAAGTTTTGGAGCTAATATTCAAACGATGATTAAACTTGTTCTCTTTTTACTTATCAAAAAAAAAAAATCAAATCCAAATTAACAGGGCTAGTATTTCTTCTCTTTTTTTTTTTTTAAAAAAAAATAAAAATAAAAACTAACAATTAGGCTAGCAAGAGCATAATCTTGAACATAAAATAGAACATTAAAAGATTTCGTGAAATCAATGGAAAGAATCAAACAATCGACATTGACTGATCATTCACATACAAAGAAAAATAAACTCCACACTATACAAACCCATCATCACCTTCGATTCTCCAAAATAAAGCTTTTTTTGCACAAATCTTCAAACCCAACAACAGTATTAGCCATGTCGCTGGTGATGATCGTGAGCTGGTCGGCAAAATCAGCTACCGGAGATTACGATTGATCGGCTGCCACAGAACGAAAGTGTACGGAGAGAGCAAAGAGAGAGAAAGAGCGTTAAGGACGTGTTTGGCGCTAAAATAGGATAGGTGGGCACTTGTCTATTTACTCGAAAGCTCAAGCTGTTCGGTAATGCTGCATACCCTATTATTTATGCACATTTCAATTTTCGTCCTGATCCGATAGACAAGTCATTACTTGAAACAATAGGTTAGAGCATCTCTAGCAGTATGTTAAAATTTTTTTGTGTAAATCTGATGTGTCAGAGTAGATTTACACAAAAATTTTATACTAACTATTTTTAGATCCAACAGTTATTTTATACCTTTTGTGTAAAAAAAGTATCTCCCAATAACAACCAACCACGTGTCATATCAATACCCTACATAATTTTTACAAACCTACTTTTTTTTCACAGTGGTTTTGCTACAGTGCGAAAGTAACTAAAAGTATCATTTTTATGTTACCGATTTTAGTCTCTTTTTTTGAAGCATTATAATACTATTCAAATAATAACAAACATTATCAAACATGTTTTGTGGTTTTACTTCACTATAATATATTAATTAAGATTTTTTTTCCAAAAAAAAAAAAAAACGGAAGCAAAAGCATTAGCCTATGAACCTAACGAATAATATATCCGATGACAGTGGATGCTATGATATTGGCTGAAAAGACTGAAAGCACCCTTAACTGACACGCTGTTTAATTGGTGCCCAAATTGTATGCTCAGTTGCTGTTTTAGGGGTTCCTAAATGAAGACCCAACCCTGTGGTCGGCACTTCCTACGTGCATGCTAGTTTAAGTTAGAAATTAAAGCACGTGGTATATGTATCATGTGCAAAAGATGACCTGGTAATACTGATTTCCAGTGTTCCGTCACCAAAGGTGGAATTTAGTGGTACTTTGGGTGTGAGTAAGATTTTTATTAATGAGGAGAAATAAAAATAAAAATAAAAACAAAAAATAAAAATATGTTCGATTTCTCGTCGAGTTTCCCAATAAGAACGAAGTTGAAATCGGTCATGCATAATAAATTAGAAAGCACGGACACCACAAAGATTATTAGATGGGCAAAGTACAGAAAACCTCCCTCGTTTTGAAACATTTTTCAATAAATCCCTCTTGTTTAATTTTTTTAGCAAAGAATCTCCCTTGACTTGTAACATTTTTTTAATAAATTCTCTTATCTAATTTTTTACCATAGAACCCCCCTCAGCTATCTGAAGGGGGTAAAAGAGCTGATATTTGGACCAAAATACCCTTTTATTTAGATCTTAATTCTCTCGAATTTCAAAAATTCATATCTCATAAATCGTACATTTAAAAATTGTAATAATATATGCACGGAAAACTTATGAAATAAGGATTCCAAATATATAAGATTTGTATAACAAACCTTCATAATCAGAGAGAAATAGGAAATTTAAAAATCTACTTTAACAATCTTATTTTATTTTTAAAAACTCGAGATATTTGCAAAAAAAAAAAAAAAAAAATCCAAAATTATTCATTTACATATGGAGCCGAATATATAAATTTTTTTAGCCCCAACAGTAATCGATTTCATATTTTGTATCAAAGTATTTTCATTTTTTTATAGACTCGCCATTTAAAAAATAAAAAAATAATAAAATTCGGTCTCTATTGAGGCTAAGTTTTTTATATGTTATGCTCTATATGAAAATGAATAATTCTGAAATTTTTCTTGCAAATAATTCAAGTATTTTATAAAAAATAAAATAAAATAAGATTGTTATAATAGATTTTTAGATTGTCTATTTCTTATGAAGTTTTATTAAACAAATATTATATTTCTAGAATCCTTATTTTATAAACTATCCGTGTATATATTATTTGCAACATTTGGATGTACAATTTGTGAGATATGAATTTTTGAAATTCGAAAAAATTAAGATTTACATAAAAGGGCATTTTGGTCCAAATATAAACTCTTTTACCCCCTTAGATAGTTGAGGGGGACTCTTTGGTAAAAAAATTAGACAATGGAGATTTATTGGAAATGATTACAAGTTGAGGGGGGTTCTTTAGTAAAAAAATAGACTAGGGGGGTTTACTGGAAAAGGTTATAAGTCGAGGGGTTTTTTTTTATACTTTGCCCTTATTAGATTTATCATAATATAATATTACTATATATAATTTTTATTTATTATATCTATACTATTATAAATCATAATTAAAATCATTAATTTGGAGTTTAGAGATAGTTGTTAAATTTTTTTTATAAAAAAAGTTTTATATTATTATTTTAATTAATTCATAATTTATTTTAAAATTACATTCGAAATTCATTGTCAGACCGCGAAACGCTTGGCCTGTTATAGTTGATATCAGAGCTAGACCCAATCTTTGATAATTTGGTGTCACGCCAAGTGTTTGGCCCGGGGGAGTCTGGGTGTGCTGTTTCGATAGGTAAGGTCTGGTGGGGGATAATGTTACAAGAAGGAAGAGTTCGGGTGTGCCGTTTCGGGCACGCAAGGTTAGGTGGGGGATAATATTACAAGGAGAAACTGTCCCATGTGAGAAAGTAAATGGATAGATATGGGTTAAATGATAGCCCCACCTAATAATTTAAATTTTTGGATCGAATCGCAAAGCACCCACCTACTTACACTAGACCTTCTTGTTTGCGGCTATCAAATGTACCAAATCTTTATATATTAATAAATTTATTCCTTTTTATATTTTACAAACGTAATTTTATCACTTCTTTTATAAAATTTTACTATAAACAAATAAAGGAACTCTATACCAAAGTCTTGTGACCTAACGTATCTTTTTTTGGGAAAAAAAAAAAAGTATCTCTTTTACTTTTTTAAATAAACGCGAGAGAGTTCTCGAAAGAACAAAAGTGAGTATGTGAATGGTGTATTTTTTGCCAATGAAAAATAATAATAATACTCTATAATAGCCCGTTTGAGATTGCTATTGGAATAAAAAAATTAAAAAAAAAACGCTATAAGTAGACCTATAATTGAACTTAGATGGTCCGAATATGATAAACATTTTCATCGATTTGACCCGATCCGATAATCCGGCGGATATTTAGTAAATTAATCCTAATCCAATTTGGTAATAAACGGAATTCGATCTGATAAACCAATCCGATCCGATCCGATAAAAATATAATTTTTAATATATATATATATATATATATATATATATAAATTAATGTCAAAAGAGAATAAAAAATAATAATTATAAGAAAAAGATATAAAACAAAAGATAAGTAAAATATGAAAGGAAAAGAAAAGAAAAATATATTTACTCATTGTTAATGAATAGAGAGTATGATATTATTAGTATGTCTATTAAGAAATTTATTAGTATGTGGATAAGAACGGATTTAGATCCTTTAAGTTAAATATTTTCTAAGTTATCCTATACATGACATTTAAAATCTACCTCAACTAATTTAAAGAAAGTTTGAAAACTGCACCGTTTTGAAAATAAGAAAAATTTACTAAAGTTTAAAAATAGTAACTTTTTTTTTTTTTTTAATTAATCCGGGGTGTCCGGAATGGCACGAACTCTTAGGCCCTCAACAACTCGACTAATCTCTAGGATCCGGAAGGGCGCCTCCCCACCCGGGTTGGATAAGTTGCAGGGGTAGCGGAGGCTAACCATAAAAAACACCTAGCTTGACTCGAACCCCAAACCTTAGGCTTGGTAAGTCCCAAAGTCAGTAAATCGTTGGGCCATATTAAGGAAAATTCACCATACTCTAACGACGTTTAACGTCATTATCTTTCCCCCATGCAACTTTTATTGGCAATAGTAATGGTTGGAATATATATATATATATATATATATATATATGCATGGATATTTATGAAATTAGGAACATATAACCAAAAACATTATAAATAGAAAAGATGAGAGAGAAAGTCGGTCGTGTTAAAAGAGTTCCAGAAACCATCGGGACTTGTTTAAGATAGGAATAAAGAGGAGAGTGGAGGATTTTTTATTGAATTTTTCTTAATTTAAAAAGATGCACTTTTCAAATTTTAACAAATTTTTCCTATCAAAATGATGTAATTTTCAAACTTACCTTGCCACTAAATAAATTTTAAATGCCATACTGAATTTTTATTTTTATTTTATTTTTTGTCGGAAATGAGAGAGTGGCACATATTCATAGCGCATATTCGAATATTTTGTTACTCAACAGCAATATTACGAAAAGCTATTCTTACATTCTTTTCCATCAATCCATACATTGGCTTGTGAACCTCTGCCTCCCCTTCTCTTGGATAAGATCTCAGGAATAACAGATCCACGGTGGACCCCACTTCCCATTACTATAATTTCAAAACTACATAAACAATTTGTTTTATATATTGTACTATTCAATACTATATTTAGTCTAATCCACAGAATTCAATAAACAAATCACTAATCAGCGTATACACATAGAATTTGATTCCTTCGAGAAAACAGAAAATGACCCAAATTTGGTCCTGATATTTGAAGCCTTGGGTTGGTTGTCTTTTTTAAGTTTATTTGATCCATCATAAACCCAATATTTGAAGATTTGGGTTGGTCTTATTTCTTTGATTTGATCAGTCGAAAGTGAAATTTGAAAGACTTGGGTTGGTTTATTTATTTATTTATTTGATTTGATCAGTCATATATTGAGTGGCTAAGATTTTTCGGCAAAACAAGTCAAAATCTCTGTGTTTGTTTTGTTTTGTTTGTTGAAAGCGATCCGAGAAATCTATCAGAGGATTGAATTCTTTTGTTTCCCATTGGAGGCTACAAATTCGTGGTGAGTTTTTTCAATTTTTTTTTTATTTTTTTTATTTTTATTTTTTTTTTTTTTTTTGTGTAATTTGTATATTTATTAAATGGTTGTGGTTTTGTTTGATTTGATGATGTCTGGAGAGAGAGAGAGTTTTGTTTTCTTGTATGACGTGCGTGATTAATGGCATCTGTGTGAGTTTATTTTCTTGTCTTCTTCCTTGTGAGCACTGATCACAGTTTAATGGCAGTTGTTGGGTTTTAATCTTCATCATACATTGAACATAAACATCAAACATACATATATATATATAATTGACTTTCCTTTGGCGCTGTTATGCTGCTGCAGCTGCTGGTAATTTTCTCAATTTTGTAGTTTATTCATTCATTTGGGTCTTTTTTTTGTTCCTTCTTTCAATTGTTGTTATCTTGAATTAATAAGTTTTGATTTATAGTGTTTTCGCTTTAAATTGGGTGTAAATCAGTTTGGGCTGTGACTATGTTGTTCAACTTTTAGCTGTCAAGCTTAGTTGGATTTTGCTCTCTGATTTTGGATTTATGTCTGTACAATATTTGTGCATCCTCTTATCCTCATCTCTAAGATGATTCCTCTGCAAAAGTCCTTTGTCTTGATGGGTTTTATTTTTTATTGACTTGGGCTTCATCTTTTTCTGTTTCACCTTTTGCTGTTAAGGTTTTTCTTCCTCTCAACTGAGTTTTTTTTGGTTATTTTTTATTTTTATTTATTTAAACATAGTATTATCTCTTTCTCTGCAAAAGGAATTTATGATTTCTTCTGTAAAGGTCTTCCAATGTCGGAACTACTTTTGGTAAACTGCCCTGATGTTCGTTTTTGTTGACATTTTTACAGGTTCTCTTTACTCATTCGAGTGATACTTTTTCTGAATTTCCCTTGTCATCGGCATTCATCCCAAATAGTGTTGATGAATTTCAGTGAGAAGGAAGATTAGTCTCTTTGATTGAGGGTCATGGAGAGTAATCACGAGACGGTGAGTGGAAATGGAATGGTGGAGAATGGCCACGGCATTATGAGGCACTCCTATCAGCCTTGCATTAGGGTCTCATTACCTTGGTTGGATTTAAGAGTTTTTTATGTGAGAATCACCAAATGTGAGATTGATGATTCGACTCCTGAGTACCTCACATTGAACCATATTCCGCTGAATCACGACACCCTTCTTGAAGTAAATGGTGCAAGAACTAGCATCTATTCCGACAATGCCTCCACCCTCCTTAGAAGGGATAGGTTAGATAAAAAATCCGAAGAAGTTACATTCGTCAGTACTGATAGTATAAGGATGACTGGCAGTGTGAAGTTTGAGGTTCTTGATAAGGATGTTCTAGTGCTACATGGGGTATTAGAATTGTGTGATAGTAATGGATTTATTCGGGAATCGCAAAATCATAGCGAGAAATGGAGCATGAGTTGTGAATCGGATGGAATTGCCGGCACTGGATTTCTGAAGGGTAAACAATACACGGGTCCTGAGTCAACTTCACCAACAATTGAGGTTTATGTGGCTGGTTGTTTCTTAGATACTCCAATTATCTTGACTAAGACTCTGCAGTTTAGTTCTCGAAAGAAGCAGATAAGAAAGGGAATGTTGGATTCCATACCGGAATATGAGGCAAGTGAAAGCCATAAGGATGTTCCATCTGGGCTTGCATTGCAGGTATACACCTAATTATTTCTTAAAATTTTATTATTATTATGAACTTTAAATCTTGGCGTTTTGTTTATCTGCAACTTTGGTGCTGCATCAATCTTATCAATGTTTATCCTCCCATGCTGCCCAAATGCTTCATTCTCTTTTGACAAATCTTCTTGCTGCAAGAAGTGGTTGATGTTGTGACAGGCATATAAAATGTTATCCTCAATGGATAAGGAGAGCATGGGGCTGGCACATATGTCTATCTAGGAAATATTACAATATTACCATTTTTGTTTTGTGTGACATTATTTTATTTTCCATCAGGATCGTGCACGGCAGTTCTCTATATCGCGTCGTTAATTCCCTTCCGCTAAACTAGCTGTGATTTTGTTTACTTGTACGCATACCTAAGCAGTGTGCCATTATATACTTAATTTACTTACCACTCTATTTAATAATGAGAGAACTAGCATTTGCAACTTGCATCTGGCCATTATTTTCTAAGGAGTGTTGAAAAGACAATTACTCTTTACAACCTATGTGTACCTTCTTTAAAGGACTTTCGGGTGCTACTTTTGTACATATGTATTATGGTAAGCATGATTTTCTGAAACTAAAAGAATCCTTCCAAACTCCATGTTTATTCATGACAGTAATTAGAAAAATAGCGCTATTAATTATAATTCTAAAATATTTACTTGATATGTGGATTATTTGCCTTGCTTCTTGTGGTGGCAAAATTTCGAAATTGAGTTAGACACAGTCGAGGTGATTGCACCATCTGCCTCTGCCTGAATGGATAAGCAAATTTCTTTGTTTATCTTTGTGGCAAAAAAGTGCAATGTTTTAGCATATTCCGTGAGCAAAAGTTATGTCTATATGTGGTGTTCATGGGATTAGGAAAGGATATCGGGAGAGTAAGGTAAATGACACGTTCCCTCCCAGAGAGAGGAAAGGCAAGAAAACTCAACCTCCTAAGAAAAAGATTGTTGTCTATTGGATTTGAAAATCATTTCTATTCGAATTGATCCGCTTACAGAAATCTTCAATCTTATCCGCTGTTTTATGTTTATATCCACTCTCTCTTTCTTTCTAGTTGTGATGTAGATTGAAGTCTGGAGTACGGATCACAATGACATCTTGCTTTAACCTTCATAAATCATACATTATAAACAAGGTAAGTGACATAAGAGACCAAAGTATTCGGAGTGAATAAATTAGGAAACTTGAATTAATTTGGAGTTAACTGTATAACTAATTAATAATTAGCTTTACAACAACGACAGCAGCCAAGCCTTTTCCCAATTACTTGGGGTTGGCTACATGAATCCCATGTTTCCATTTCACTCTATTCAAGGCCATAGCCTCAGTTAATCCACAAGCCATATGCTATCATATATTTCTTTACTAACTCTAACCGCATGCTAATAATTAGCTTTAACATAATTATAAATTTAAAGATGAATGTTTTTTCATTAGGAATGAATTTGAAAACCTTAATGTTGGTCAGAAAAATTTAGATTTTGAGTTTAAGTTGAAAACATTTTTAAGAGTTGATATTGGTAAGGATTTCAAGTTGTAGAAATTGACCTCGTTGCTTGGAATTTCGTGATGGTCTTTATTTTGACCTTGCTAAGCTTTACAATGACATTAAATGCGTAATTTCTCCTTTTGACCCCTCAACAGACTTGTTACCAATTCACTGTAGCATATAGGATACTGACGGTGCTGCAATTTCTCTGCTCAATCATGGTGTAAATGGCAGTTTATGCATATTGGCTCATCTCTCAAGTAGGCATCTCTGCTTCTATGAGCTTCTATACTGTTTTTGCTCCTAATTCTTTCTTGGGATTTTTTCCTTGTACTTCACAGCACTTTAGTGGCCATTAAGTGCATTGGTGCTTCAATTCTTTTAGTTTTTTATTTCTATCTTGGCCTTAGAGATCAAACGGTAGATACAGTGACAATTCTATGAATGTTCGTTGGCCTTATGCTCCATCCCCTGTAAAGGGGGGAGGGAGATGCATCTTTGTTGGGGTATAACCAAGAGAAGATCTTATCCAAAGTGCCACCGGATTTAAAATAACGTCATTGCAGCTTGAAGTTGGATGACTTGTTTTCAAGTTTTGTTCACTACCAATATTGGTAATCTTTGTAGTATAGTTGCCAGGAAACTTGTTTTGTGGATGGATACTTTTTTTTTTTTTGCGTAAACAGGTTTTGGAGTCGGGACTAAACTTACATTAAATTTTAAGAGAAACTGCTTTGGAATGGTTTCGAATCATTTTAGAAATCCTGGGATACTGTTCGGACAATCTTGTGAAATGTTAGGAAACTTGCTAAGAAATGTGCAGCTTACAAACTTTTCTTCCCAATGGTATTTCTGAACCATGTTTCATGCTTCTGATTGTCACTTAATTTTTCTTCTGATTTGTCCAAACCAACAAGGGTATCATCAAAGATCAGTAATTAACTCTCGCATGTATTAAAATGTTTACATGACTTATCAAAAAAAAAAAAAAGTATTAAAATGTTTACATGACAATCAATCTTCTTTACTTTTTGCACCATACAATGTACTCCCCATTTGCTTTTATCTTTCCAGGAATTGGATTACCCGAATTATAAACCAGAAAATGAAGACTATAGAAACTTCTATTCGGGGACAGAATATTTAGAAGGTGAAGATGGAGAGCTATCTTGGTTCAATGCTGGGGTGAGAGTGGGAGTTGGAATTGGCCTCAGCATTTGTGTTGGAATTGGGATAGGAGTCGGATTGCTGGTTCGAACCTACCAAGGAACGACCAGGAACTTCAGAAGGCGGCTACTGTAATCCATCATGCCCCGGCTTGTCTTTCTAACCCAACATCTCTTGTGCTCCCTCACAATCCAAAAAGCTGCTGACTTGATAGTCTTGCTGACAAATACCCTCATTTCGGATTTTCTGAGGGTATATGTTCCGCGATTAAGAGCAGGTCTGCATGAATTCCGGCTTTCTTGGTTTTAGTTTGAAGGAATTAGCCTTTAATATGAAATAAAATGATGATTTTGTTATAAAGGTACTACCATGAATGCAGGAATTTTCCCGGGCATTTCCTGCACTTAAATCTTGTTGGAAACAAATTTGTTGGTCAAGATCCTCTTCGTGTACAATTATTGTAATTTCTTCTTTTCTTTTTGTTATAAAGGTGTGGATAGCAATAAGTTTTGATAATGGGAATTTACTTGTGTGTTTATACATATATTGGCAGCTTTGCTCATGAATATTATGTGAAAATTGTTTAGAGGCCTAATGTAACAGGTCGGGTATTTCGCGATCCAATCCAAAAGCTTAATCTAATCCATTAGGTGGGGGCCAACCCATATATACCCTAGGACAAGTCTCCCCTTGTAAAATTCTCCCTCACCTGAACTAGCAATGCCCAATACCTGTTGCGATCGGGCTACCCTGCCTACCCAAGGTGCCGATCTAAACTCCTCCAAGCTGGTGCTTGGTATGGCACCGGATAAGGAATGGGGCTCATATTGTTGTTTTAGTATTTTATGTTGTATGGATAGTATCTCTGTTAAAATGTTATAATTAGAAGTTGTTGATGGTAATAGTGTAATCTAAACAATTTTTAAATTTCAGCTTTTATATTTATCCGGCAATCCTTCTGATATATATTTCTTGATGAAAAGAACATAGCAACAAAGTGGGAAGTTAGGACACAGAAACTACTGATATATATTTCTTGGTGAAAAGAAAAAATTACATAAATACATACTGAAGAATAATTTGATTACTTGGTATCAACACAATTAGGAGCACACATGCACAAGTAGTTACTGAGATATTCTGTTAATTGGCTCAATAAACATTTTGATTGTGTTCATGCCCGAAGCACTCATACAATCCTGCACTCATACAATCCTGCAAGTTCTTGTCGCAGGCTATTAAAATCCGATCGTCATCATCATCTTTGTATTTGATCTTATAAGTTCCAACATGGTACTTCAACCTCTTGGAGACTTCCTCTTCCAACTCCACCATTCTTGACGAAAAAGGTAATTGAAACTTTATCATATCATCTCCACAGGTTGCCTTTATAGTCATCGTCCTTGCTTCTAGTGGTGGTCTTACAAGTGGAGTCGTGTGATGAGCCACGAGTTTCTTAGCAGGCAAATCAGAACATGGAGGATCTCGTCTAGAGGTAGAGCCTTCAACCTTTTTTCTCTTGCTCCGCGGCCAGCGATCAATTTTATTGTTTCGGCATATACGCTTAAATGTAGATCGGCTCACTGCAAAAATAATAATTCAATAACAAAAACTCATATAATTTGCAAGTGCAAAAGAAAAAACTATTATTTCTATTAGAAGAAACTCAAAAGTAGAAAATAGAGCAGATTACAAACAACAATTTCAATTAGTGTATAAGCTTACCACCAAAAATCTCTGCAACATCTTCAAGTTTCTCCCCGAAATGTTTTTCGAGCTCCTCATAAGCGATTGAATTTGCATTAACATTCCTTGCACCATTGATATCATCAACTTCAACTTCATCTGTTAGTTGCTGATTTGGTGGATGTGGCTGTGGCGTCTCTTGCCCATTATGTGAGACTTCAAGCCTAGGCGGAGATATAGAACTTTGGCATTGAGAAAAATCAGGTTCGTGATTCATGCATGCCGCATCCGGACGAGTAATGGGAACGTTATTTTGCTCCTGTCCATAATTTTGCTCTGCATGAACAACATCCCTGTCAACTTCAACTATTAGCTGTTGATTTGACAAATGTGGCTGCATCATCTCTTGTCCAATTTGTAAGACTCCAGGCCTAGATGGAGATGAAGTACTTTGGCATTGAAAAGTAGCAGACTCTTGATTCAGGGGAGGTTTAATAAATTCAATCGATAACTCCTTCCCGAGCTCTTCTCCAGAAGCAAGCTTAAAGCTTGGGAGATGTTGCTTCATTGTCTCTAATATTGGGCACACCATATGTGTTTTTAGGATTCAGAAAAAACTATAGTACGTAATGATAATTTTCGGCACAAGTACTTTGCAAGCAAATCGCGAAACAACCTGTTAACCCATAAGAGCGTGCAACGGGCAGGTCGGGGTATTGAGTTATGCTGAATTGAGTTATATCTCTGCAGAAACATAGTTTATGTGACAAATATGCTCTCCTAACAACTTCAACTCCCTGCCCCTTTTGAAAGGCATACTTGCTACTAGGACAGAAAGACCTCAGTTTATCATCCAGAAGAGAACAACTCCATACTGTCATATGGTAGCTATTATCCATACTGCCATCAATGGCCAAGCCATTGCAACGTCTGCACGGAACCCACGCGTAGGCGAAAGGTAAGTTGTGAGTTTTGCACACCACTCCCAATCCTTGGCGGATTTCAGCCACTAAATTTAGATCACGATCACAATTTTGTTTACATAGAAGCTGAAACAGGATTACAAGTGTTGTTTGGAATAGACATTTGTGGATGAGAGAACAGAGTAGTGAAAACATATAAATACATTTGGATATTACAGCTGTAACTTACCTCAAGAATAGAAAAAGAAGTTTTCAGACCCGCACGCTGACGCTGCAAGAGAAGAGAGTTGATAAATTTTTGTAAGGTTTAAATTAATGAAAAGAAAAAATCAATATGGATCATCTCCAAATATGATGGCATTCATATCCGATCACCTCAGTCCTCATCAAATTAATTAGAAGAATAACAAACCTGGAGCTTATATTTCATATACCATTCAATCGTCCGGTCTAAATTGGTATTGGTAGTTGCAGTAAACTCAAGTACTCCAACGCATTCCTGGAAAGAGGTTTGAAACACCGGCAAAGAAGTAGTCTCTAAAATATCGCAAGCTAGAGCGAAATCACGCTGTGGGTACTCTTTGGTAGAGAAAAGTCGCACATCTGGCATACACTGGTGCCATTTTCGGCGGAAAACACGACCAGGGATTCCTAGGTGTTCTACTTCATCCAGGATTCCTAGGTGTTCTACTTCATCCACATTAAATTTATATTGCAAGCAGTGCTTCCTATATTTAAGAAGTCGTTCATCAAGATGATAAGAAATAGCAAAAGGTTGGTCTGAAGTAACAAGCTGGACACCCCCTGTTTCTGTTGTGATGGGTGCCCAAAACTGAATTAGAAGGTCACCCATACAATAACTTTGATCCAAGCGTAGAAGGAAAGATTTGATGATGTCTGTAATGATGGGTTGATTTGTGGCCGGGGTGTGAGTTGCCGAATCGGTAATACCACCACCACCACCTACAAGTTCAATCCAACAACATTATTATTATATATAATATACATATGGTGGTTCTCCACTAAGATACAGATTGAATTTCTTAAGCTAAGCTGCTATTGAATTAAATTTCCATGCCAACTATATACATATTTCATTTTTATGTTAATAATAGAAAAAAATGTGAGAAATTAAGGGTGACCAAAAAACAGAGAGATGGAGAAAAACAGATTACCGCAAGGAGAGAGAGTCGGCTCACTCCAAAATGCCCACAGCTCTTCTTCCGACGACGGGCGCCGGAAAGACACTTCACTCGGCAAATCTTTCATGAAATTCTTCATCTTGCGTTCTTCATCATCAATCGGATGTTTCATCTTCTTCATCATTATTCTGTTGATTTGTACTGGTTGATGAACTAGAGATTATTCTCAACTTAGACGAAGGAAGGGGTTCACAAAAGAGATATAAAAACGCGTAAACAATGTCAATAAAGGTTGAAACCGTGTTTTTTATTTGAAACCGTGGTTTTTTATTTGGCCCACCATCATGGAAAGAGACAAGCGACAATTACCTCCACCTACTCTTTTTTTTTTTTTTTTTTTTTCAAAGACAATTGAGTCCTAAAAAAAAATAAAGTCCTACTTTTAAAATTTATTTACAATAAAGTTGTATAAAAATTAAAATACATTTTCTACTCTTTTCATTCATTACTAAAAGTTTTACATTTTTTATATAGATTTTTCAGTGTTTTAATTGTATACACAGGTGGAAAGCTGCTTCACCAGAGTTTTCAAAAAAAAAAAAAAAAGAAAGTTTCTTCATCAAATTTGGATGTTTATGGAATTGTTGAGCTGAAAACCTCCTACCAGTGGTGAACTACATGATTTTAAATTTATCCTACTTTTAGCAAGACTTTTGTTGCTTTTGCTCTGTCCTTACATTTTTTTGACTGACCATAATCTTGATGGTATTGAGAATATAACCAACTGTCCATTTAATATTATGCTTATTTATTACAATTTTCATTTCTAAACTTTCTTGATAGTTCTTGCAGCCACGTACCTAGAGTTCGTGACGCATTTTTATGGTGATGGTGCCCGCCAACTAGTAAACACTAAATGGTAAGATGATGGACATTAGAGATGTTCATTTGATCCGATCCAATCCAATTCGTACAGTTCGGATTAGTTTTTCAGTATATCAGATTAGCGGCAGATTCATAAAGAAGTAATTCATAAGAGGCACCATAAGGGTTATCAAGGAGAAGAACAGAGAGGACCAAGGAAGTGTATGGTGGATTAAACCAGAACCATAAGAGGCTTGAAGGGATTCAGTGGTTGCCGAAAATTTAGAAGCAACGCCAAGAGACCGGTGTTTTGTCTTTTTCTTTCGTATTTCGGATCCGTTATCAGGTCATCTTTCGGTTCATCACTGACGCACCGGTTATTTTAAGGTTTTTGGGTTGCTTTGTGTTAAACGATAAAGATAACTTAGGAAAATTTGAACCTAAATCGGATGAAGGGATTTTCTTGGGGCCTCTTGACCTTTTCTAATCTAAGGACATTTTAGGGATTTCATAGTGAGTTTTTTTTATCATTTTTTACTGCCCAATTGGGTAGATAACTCGATTTTAGGACATTACCAAGCTAGGAGCTGTTGATACATGGAAGCATGGAGATTTCCTATGCAAGAACTACATCCTTAATGGATTGGACAACACTTTGTATAATGTGTACAGTCCAATGAATACTGTTAAAGAGCTCTGGGAGTCATTAGACAAGCATAAATAAGACACCAAGCCGTTAAAGAAGGTACGAGAAAAAACCCCTAAACAGAAATTACATAATTATTATGTGATACGATTACAAATATTAACTTGATCGTCGGAGCGTCCTCGGCTGGTACCCCACCGGTGCCTATCTGCAGAAAGAGGTGTGATTACGGATAAGTGTGATTAGCACATATTATAATCAGCTCTTATGTTAAATTAATCCAATAACAAAGTACAATGCATCAGTTTAGGAATAAATCAATATCCTGATATTCTGCATTCTAATAACAAAAGAAAATCAAAAACCAAAACTTGAAAATAAAAATATGGCAGAAAGACACATTGTATTTCTATGTCAAACAAAACATCTGTGTGAACTAACTTAAGTTTCTCCTTTCTGAGATCTCTGCCACTCTTCTTGAAACTGACCCTCTTCTGCTTGCCCATCACGCAACTCTCATAGTCACATATTCCATTTACAACAATTTACTTATTTAAAAGAAAATCAACATAATTATGCATGCTTGACAACAAAATAAGAAAATCAAATTTGGATGTTTATGGCATTTTTTTTTTTTATTTTTTTTTCTTTCTTGAAATTATGCTATTATTAGGTTTACAATACAACCTTCAAATATATATATATATATATATTCTTTTTTCTGTGTTGGGCTGATTCTATGGATGTTCGAAAATTTCCAATTAGAAAGATTGCCGGATTATAATATGAAACAGGATTATAGGTTGTTGCTTCTGATTTTCTAAATAAAAAAGAAAAGAATCTTAATTAATTTAATAATTAAATTTTAGCTCTTAAAATTTTGAATACTTAATATTTAATTTTATCAAAAATTGGCTTATTTATCGCTCTGGACCAAATGTATAAGCTCTCTGTCTTCAAAGGGGAGGAGATTGAGTGTTTGATTGAGTCTTGGTGGAGGAAATATAAATTGGATGTGTTTGCTTTACCATCTAAGAGGGCAAAATAAAAAAAAAGCTTGTATAATTCCTTAAGATAATCGGTAACCTAGGGGAGGATGGGAATCGAACATAGACTACCAACTAGGTCACTCGGTAACGCCCTTACGATAACTAACTATCAAAGATTGTAAGCTAGTTTATATAACGAAAGACTGAGACAAACCAGGCCCACTTTGCAGCCCATCTAGCTCACGTTTTGGGCTTGGATTCGATAAAATATAGGCCTGATTCGAACTGTTGAGCAAAGTCCTATGGGCTCAGGTTGGGTAGACCTGGACTCCCAACACTCGGATCAGTCCCGTCCAAGCGTGGCCTATTTTGAATACTTGCAATGGATCCAAAGCTTAAAGCACAGACCCATGGCCTAGGTGTGCTTCGATGACCCAATATTGTGATTGGAGCACATCAAAACCCGAAGGGATCCAGTTGGTCCATGCTAGTGAACGCCTAAAAAATTAAGGAAAATGATTTTAAGGGTTCGTTTACTTAGTGAAGTAGATAGAAAGAAAAAGAAAAAGAAAAAGAAAAAGAAAAAGAAATGGGAAATATTTAAATTTGTTGAGTTTGGTTAGAGTAAAAGAGAAAATTTTTGGGAAAGTAAAAGTCTTGCAACTGTTTAATTTTCTTTCCCATATAAGTGGCATCTTCATATCTTAATTTTCTATTATACCCATGTCGCCTTACTTCACTTTCTTTGTATATTTCAAGAATATATGAGTTTCCATCTTTTGCAAATTGCTTATATGACCAAGTAATACTATTTTTATTTTATTTTTTATATTTTTTCCCTTCCAAAATTAATAAATTGTTGAGAGTGATATATACAAACATGGTTGTGTATATATATATATATATATATATATATATATATATCTGAGTATTTAGGAGTAGAGTGTTAGGTTAAAAACTAGGATTAGTTTTCGATAATTTCTTCTCTTTGTATACAAGTTTTGAAATTACAATTTAATTCATATATGTACTTTAGACTTCTCTGGACAATGGGGCTCTAGCCTCTATGTAACTAATTTAGTTTTGACTCATAAATTAGACATACCAAAATAATTTAGTTCTAAGTATTTTATTTCATTTATACTTTTAACCTTTTTTTTTTTTTTTTCTTTTTTCTATGACTAAAAATATATATTAATTTCAACCTTTTATGCTCAAGATTTTTCTGAGCAAATTTTTTTTATTAATTAAACTTGCATCTATAATCACATATATCCAATTATTAATCATTAGAAGATATAAAATATAATGTTCACTTTTTCATCCTAAACTTGAAATTTAATTTTGTTCAAAAATAAGGAAATATGATAGTGTTTCAAAAAAAGTACAAAGTAATCTTATAATAAAAAGGGTTGGTGATTAGAATCACTATATTTTTTTTTTTTTTTTTTTTTTTTTTTTTTTTTTTTTTTTCATGCTTTCAAAACTCACAAAATAATATGTTGGTCGCAACTTCTACCTAGGGTTTGCCCTTTAAATGTCAAAAGATCAATCACAAGTCCAATACTATGATATATTATGAACTTTGGTGTGGTCAGGCCAACACAGTGATGATCAGAGGCAATTTAGCTCATTTTAAATTGATTACAGAAAGTACATTGTTGATTAAGTTCAATTCACATGCAACGACATTGTCATTTCTGGTGTAGCATATGTATTCTTGGTCACAGGCTTATTCAGGGGCAATTCAGTCTTTCACACATGTATATGATCGCTTTATATTTGCCTTGAATGTTACAATACATTTTAGAGCACATAAATTCAATTTGATTATATATAAGCAAGCTACAACACAATTTTTCTGGTGTACAATTGACAAGTGTCCTCTGAAAGGTATTTTGGTCTTTGTGTATGAAGAACATTTGCTTGACGCGTGTTGTGATACCCCTGATTCCAAAGCCATGGGTTGATGAAGCCGAAGCCCAAAACCGAGGGAATATCAAAACAATTAGGTAATTATCGAATACAGAACACAAAAGATAAATAATAATAGAGTTAAAAGAAACTAAATAATAAAATCCTCCAATAAAAAAATTCAATAGAATAAATCCTCCATTAATAAATTCCAAATCTTCTCATACCAGTAACCATCATATTACAACTTGGGATTCTATAATGTAGACCCCTAATATAATCCCAAAAGAAAATAACTGAAGTAAAGAAATCCAAAGACTGAATATAAAAAAGAATTCTCTACGTAGAAGAGTGATGAAGATTGTCTCTGCTCAGCACGAATAATTTTTAAGTCTGAAACTGACGAACACCTGAAAAATAATAGTGGGTCAGGCTCACGAACAAGTTCTACTCTATCACATTCCAAACAGAGACCCGATATACGTATACATCCTAGTCAACTCAACAATAACAACATAATCCATATATATATAAATACACACTAAGAGCTAGTTTGGTGTAGTGGAATAGATTAGAATGGAATGAGAATAGAAGTGGGAATGGAATGAGAAGAGAATGGAATGGCCATTCCTTTTATTAGAATGTGGAATGATTTTGATAGAATGGCCATTCTCCAAGAATAGTGGGAATGATGATTCCAACTTTAAAATTGGCACCAAACACGATAATGGAAAAAAAAACCATTCCATTTCACTTTCTTTTATTTCATTCCACCACACCAAACTAGCCCTAAAGGACTATCACCGGATTATAGGATAGCCTCAACCTGAATAGTAGGTAACATGCAAAACGCACATATAACGAACACGAGTA